CAAATGGAGGGAGGGCAGAGTCTGCAAAAGAAATGGAACACTTCTACCATGTCAAAGACAAGTTTGAAAAAAAACGTTAAGAAGACCACAGGACATTACTGAGAGATGGCGAATGTACTTCGAAGAAAAGTCGTCCACAACCAGTCCCGATACAGCCATCCGCTGACCCTGTGAACGGACCAGTGTCATTCATAGCAGCTGAGGGAGTACGGCTTGCTATAATAAAGAAAATGAACGGCAAAGCTTTCGGTCCAGATAACATACCAAGTGAATTCTGAAAAATGTGGATGGCGGTGCCTCTTGGCTTGCAGGCCTCTTCAATCTCATCAAAGCTAAGAACATGCCCCATGACTGGTCAAAGAGCACAACAATTCTGATGTGGAAGAATAAAGGCGATATCGTAGACTGCTCAACATATCGGCTAATCCGGCTGATGGGCCACACTTTGAATATCTTCGAGAGAGTACTCGAAATACGACTTCGAGCGATCATAGGGTTGCCATCTAATCGCATTTGTAAAAGGTGCCGGCACTGCTGACGCCATCCATCTGTACGGAAATGATGGAAAAGTATAGAGAAAAACGAAAAGAGCTACATGGGCTTTCCCTTGATATGGAGAAAGTCGACAAGGTACTCCATTGTGTTATATGGTGGGCACTGCGAAAGCACGTGGTTCCAGATGTACACATCCAATGGATAAAAATGATCTATCACGGAGCTACGAGCCATGTACAAATGCGGCAGGACAGTCGAAACTATTCCGCATAAAGACCGGCGTACGTCAGGGGTCGGTGCCCTCTCCTCTTCCCTTCATCACAGTCATGGACGCAGTGACGGAAGGTCTCAAGCGACATCCATGGGCTCCCTGTATGCAGACGATGTGGTGTTGATGGCAGAAAACAGGAAAGATGTTGAGGATGACGTACATAGATAAAGGACCAGTTAGGGTTGTACGGCTTAAAGTTTAACACATAGAAGACAGAATATATGGAAGTGGGAGGTCAAAAATCAGCAGTCATATACATCGACGAGAAGCCAATCAAGAAAACGAGTACCTCAAGTACGGAACTCGCATTCTGGCGAAACGAATGCGGCCTGAACGAAATGGAGAACCTTCACAGGAGTTCAATGCGACAAACGAATGCCAGTGCAACTCAAATTCCAGATATACCGTACTGTGATACGCCCCACAGCGCTATCAGCGCTATATGGCAGCGAATGTTGACTCAGTATGTGATGGATAATGGAGAACACAAGCTTAGTGTCATGGGACAAGGATGCTGCGGTGGACCTTGGTTACCACCCTGCTAAATAATTTCTGCAATGAAACAGTTCAAGTTAGGATAAAAGCTCCCATCGTTAAGAAGATGCAGGAAAAACGACTGCGACGGTACAGACATGTAAGCCGAAGAGATGAGATCCACAACACAAGAGTTGCAATGTCTCTGGAAGTCGCTGGAGAAAGACCACATGGAAGGCCAAAGACTAGGTGGATAGACAGAATCAGAGCTGATCTGAAAGAGCTTAGGATAGACGAACGTCATATCTTGAATCGAGAATACTGGAGACAGTTGACTCATGCAGCAGACCTTGCGTAAGGGGGAACGAAGATAAAAAAGGCTCAAATTAATTTATATGATATGAGAATTTATTCAATATTGGCTATCCACCCCTCTAACATTAAG